GATGTGCTTTTCACTTGGGCTGTCACTTACCAGGATGTTCCTTTGAAACACTGACCCCAGGTGATATTTGTAGAGTTGAGGTCACACGGAAGCAACCTGAGGCTGCTGGAGATGGGAGGAGAGACTGCAAAAGCATCTGAAGGAGTCTGAATGTCCCTGCAGCTTGGTGGTGCTGGCTTGAGGAGGCTTTCAGGGAATCCCTGGTATTTGAAGCCTGTGTGGGGCTCCTGCCCATTTCCCAAAAGCCAGACCAGGCTTCCCTCCCGCAGAGGCTTAGAGCACGTGGTGTCTTCATGCGGCTTGCGAAGGTGCAGCCGCCCTCAGAGTTGCCCTGTGGTTTTGGCATGCTCAGATTGGCTTTTTTTTTTTTAATAAAAAAACCCAAAGATGCTATCTTGGTCCCACTCAGAGTTTTTGGAGAATCTCAGAAACTAAACACCCCCCTGTTCCCTTCCCCCTGCCTTTGGGTCAAGAAGCCCAGGCTGCTCTGGTGAGCTCACCGATTCCATTGCCATGAGCTAGTAAAATCCTGCCTGCAGCCCTGCGCCCGCTTCCCGGAGGAGCAGCTCCCGAGCCAGGCACGGGCAGGCAGCGGCCGTCGGTGGGAAAAGCAATGTACACGTGCAATTTATTACTGCTTACACGGTCGATCTAGAGCAGTTGTTTGCAAAACCTTCTGCCTTGTAAAGGAAACTTGGACCGTAGACTTTTGTCTGGTTCAGAGGATCTGTCTGATGTTCCACGTGCAAATCGTTTATAACCTGATTTACAAAAGGCCTCTTTGTTACATGCGTTTCTCTCACCTCACTTGTTTTTGTAAGGTCCTTAAGAGCTCTCTAAGAACACAGTGAGCAGTGCTGGCCGTGTGTCAGGAGTCTGGCTGTGATGTGCAGGGCGAGGCCGTCGCGCTCAGCTCTGCTGGGCTTTGCGCCGCTGCACCCTTAGGAAGCGCAGGAGCTGCCGGAGCCCCTGGGAGCTGGTCTGGAGCTGGTGTGGTTCTGCAGCTTTGCAGCGTGGGACACCTGATTTTGACACTATCTGTGTGTCCTTGAACAAGTTCTCTCTGCTGACCTGCTTTGTTAAATGCTCTGATTCCCGCTGATTAGCAGTGATGGTGTATGACAGAGGTGCTTGTAAGACAGTAATTGGAATGTGAAGGTTTCAATTTGAAACCATCTGGCAAATTTGGTGTCTTCCCTGCTGTTTGTGGGTTGTTTTCTCTGGCCTTTTCAAGGCAGCCCAAGTGTGCTTTGCTCTGAGATGTGCTCTGTGCTGTCCCTGTGTGTCAGGGCCTTTGGCTTTTTCTGTTTGGGTTCCAGCTCTCTAAACGTGTGTGGTGCCTTGGCAATGTGGTGCTGTGTTTTCTTCAAAAGTAGAGCTTGTAACTCTGCCATAAGAAAAGATGCCAGTCTAGTGACAGAGGGATCTGCCCCATCCAGCACTACAGACCCTCAATGAGCAGCTTCAGGGGTCTGTGATAAGCTGGAGATCTGAACTAGAATCACAGGCTGCCTCCTTCCTCCTGAAGGGACTTTTCCCAAAATAGTGTTTTCTTCCTTGTGCCTTATCCTTCAGATTGCTTTGTTTCTTCAGCCAGTGTTTCTGTTCTGCTTTCTAGGATTCCAGCAGCTTTCTCTGTTGTCTTCCTACGAAGTTATAATCCCACAGAGGTTAGGAAGAGAACGGCGAGAGGCTTCCAATGTCTCCTCAGTACAGGTACTTCAAAATGCCTTGAGTTTAGTATCTGCTTCCTAATGAGGTTCACCCAAAACTGACCTGAAATTCTCACAAAACACTGTCAGGCTCATCTAGCAGCAACCAAGTGTCCATCCTTACAGAAGGCATTACATCTGGCCTTGCCTTTAGCTCACTTACAGTAAATGTCTCCTTGCTCCAGAGGTTACCAGTTGCTGCAGTGAATCTTTGATCTGGCTGTAAAGGTTGCATAATGAGAGATGTTAAGCACTGGAACGAGTTTCAGAGAGGTGGTGGAAACATTATCCTGGGAGATGCTCAAAATCTGACTGGAGGAGGCCCTGAGCTGCCTGGGCCAACTCTCCAGCTGGCCCTGCTGCTTTGAGCAGGGGGTTGGATTAGACAACCTCCAGCAGTACCTTCCAGCCTTTATTATTCTGCTGTAACCACATAACCAAAGACTGCACACTTCAAAGTACTTGGATTAGACCAAGTGTGTTTAGTCACAAATCTTATAAACATTGGCAGAATTCGCTATTAACAAGAATGTGCTGCAGTTTGTTGCAGTCGTTGACTAGTGCTCCTGCTGTGATATTTCATGTGGTGGTCAGGTGATTCAGCTAATCCACTTCATATCTAAGGACCCTCGTTGCTGTGTTGTAGCACTTGGCTGGCACAAGGTTCTGGAGGTACTGGCTCACTGTGAATGTTCAGTAATAAAACTGTGTTGTCCTCTTCCAGCTGTAACTAAGAGTTTTTCTGTGGAAGTCTTAGAAACAAGGAATAAGAAAACCACAAAGCTATTTTTAAATAGTTTATTTCATGTGACTTTTCCCCACTTACACAGGAAGGGATGCCAGGTTCTGGGGGTAGGGACAATTATAAAATAAGTTTTAGACTCATCCACGTGTGGTTTATTCCTGGTCTGGTGTAAGTAGCAAGGCTTGAGAAGGAAAGTTTATTAGCACATTATCTGGCAATTTCAATGTGTGGGCAGGGCAGTCATTCTGTATGCTGGCTGTGGGGAAACCAGAGCCAATCCTGACACCTCTGCTCATCTTCTCATAGCAAAGTCTTGCAGACTCAGTGCAGTCAGCTGGGGGCACAAGGAACACCCGCTCCCCTGACCAGCCTTGGGGTGCAGCAAGAAGTGAGAGTGCTGTAGTCCTAGCAGTGATGGAGCCAAACTTTTGTTGATTTCAGAGAATGTTTTATTCATTAAAATGAGTAAAATGCAACTTTTTTTATATTCAGGACAAGGTGTCGTATGCTATTGAGATAGAAGGACAAGAATACACGGTTCATCTTGAAAAGAACAAGTAAGTGATCAATTTCTTTAGATTGTTAAATTCCATCTGTTTTGTCCCAATAAGGAGCTGACAGGTGGTACGTGAGTTCCAATTCATGAGGCTCTTTACAAGAGGTGCAGTTACAGGCTGGCTCTGCGAAATCTGTAGAGAAAGATGGGGAAAGTGGATTCAGTCACACAGTCTTGGCTATCAGCCAGAAATTTGGTTGAACTCTGGCAACTCTGGTCATCCCCTTTCGGTGAAGGAAGCAGCAGTTTGTTCAAAGGGGATCTGGGGAATCGCTGCAATGACTCTCTCCATTCACATCTAAAAATAAACAAACTGAAGTATATTTCAAGTAAATATTTTCACTTTCTTCTGGGTTTTGTTTATTGTTTGAGGATTTTTTTTCCTGTCTCAGTAGCACAAGAATACTAATAAAAGAGGAAGTTGACTTTATATCCAAGGCCTTAATGTCCATAACTTGCAGACAATATAGATGTTGTCTGAGTTTTAATTTTCACAGGGCTACTTGCAGCAACAGCAAGTTACCTTTTATCAAGCTATTGCTTCTTAAAACTGCCCTCATAATAGACAAAAGAGACAGAACTATTTAAATGTTCAAGCCCACAGGGATCTCGAGCTGCCACTTGCCAAGCCCCTGACCCTCAGGAACGTGGGATTTCAGCAATGCTGCATCGAGGGATTTACCCGCATGGCTCAGCAGTCTTCATCGTGGGAGACTTTCCCAATGCACTTCCTCCCAAAACTGGGGAAGAGAAGTTGTGCAGCAGACCAAGTGCTGTGATTTTTTTTTTTTAATTTTTTTTTAAATTCTGCATGAAAACAAGTTTTTAGCACAATTTAATGGGTTTTGGTGCTTGTTTTACTTATCCAGGGTGAGGTGGTTGATTTGATTCCATGAACGGTTCTGCTATTCTGATATCTTGGATTTTTCTGTGGAAATGCACAATTTCTTTGTTAGTTTTGGGGAGTTTTCCTTTTGAACACTTCCTTATTTAATTGCAATTTACTTTTTGGTTAAGATCATCTTAGTGCCCTGCTATAGTGTCATAGTCATTTCATGTGTTCCTCTTGTATTCCTTCTCCCCTTTCCTTAGAGAACTGCTGCCCAAAGATTTCACGGTTTATACCTATAATAAGGAGGGGAAGTTGCAATCTGAATATCCAGATGTCCAGGTACGATTCCTTTCTTTTATACCCTTGCTGAAGGTGACTTGAATACTGAGCATCTACAGGATGAGGGAGTCATATTACAAAATGATAGTTGTATTTTTTGCTGGGCCACCTTCTAATCCCATGCGTGCTCTGCTCTCTTCCTGGAGAGAATCCTTGATTTCGGATGAGGCTCTAGCCTGGAGCTTGTAACAGACCCATATTTTCTTCAGTGGTGGTGATTGCTAACTAAAAGCTACTCTCCTCTAAAAAGGAAATGCTCTTCTTAACTGTCAGGTATCTCATTGTCTGAGAGTGGTGCTGTCCTTGTCATACAGCACAGTGCAGTGCTGGTGTCACTCCTGGACACAGGTCTTGCTTCTCGCAGGGACCAGAGCACGTGGAGCAGAACCATGGTGGTCCAGTGACTGAATGTAGCTTTGACTTTTACACACAATGGTCTTCCAGATTGGTCCACAAATCAAAATGAACGGTCAGCTGCTGACCCATCTTTTCAGTTAGTGACTCTGTTAGTGACTCTAAGAATTTCTGAGGTTTGACAAGCTATCCATTAGTCCAGAAATTTGGGAACTACTAGAAGGGATGGACGAGGATGATGAGAAGGATGTTACCTGCATAGCATTTGAGTTAATCCACTGAAAAAGCAGCTGCAGCCCTCTTTTTCTGGACAAGCAGGCTGCTCGATAGATTCCCTTTGAAAATTTAATGGCTTCTGTAGAGTAAGAGTAAAAAGCAGCTCATGTGATACAAAAAGCATATGAGTGTATTTCTAATGGCTTCACTCTTCTTATGTATCAGCATTGTTCCTTTGAAAGTTAGTCATATATGATTCATAGGATCTTGGTTTTGAAAACAGAGCACCTGAGTCAACTGAGTATTTACTTCCTAATTAAAAGTGATTGACTAAGAGGAAAAATGCTTTTTCTGCACGAGGTCATGAAAGTCACAGTGGCTGTAAAGGATTAGCACATGCCTTCTGTGCTTTCTGCTCTCATTGCTGAAACAACAGGCAGCATAATCTACCTGACCCTTACAGTAACATTCAAAAATGCACTTGCCAGAGAAAAAGGAGTGTATTTGCCTCATACTACTGCATTGTCTAGTTTCCAAAATGTCTGTATACAGAGGACAAAACGCAGGTGTTCTGTCTCGTCAGGGCTGATGAGGGATGTACTGCGCAACCGAAACGTTCCGTCAGCGCAGCGCCTGTTGGCGAGGACAGCAGGTGTTGGCCCTCTTCTTGCTGGAGAGAGGTTACGTACAAGTCAAACATTCTGCAGGACTGTTTTCTAGAAGCCTGAGTGGTGATTTGGCCCAAATCTGTAGGGAGGGGCTGGCCTTGAAATATTTGAGGCAGGGTGGAGGACAGAACTTAAGAGTAGGGTGATTACGGTTAAGTTAAGAAATCCATTTGCTAGATAATGCTTCTGAGCCCTGCTTGCCTGATACTTACAACATGTTGGCAGCACCAGCTCTGAGTCTGGCTTCAGGTAGAATGACTGAGTGAGCAAGTGGGATTTTAAACTGAAATCTCTAATGAACTGCTGGCCCCATCGAGTTCTGCGGAGCATCTGATTTATAGGATAGGGAGGTAGGGATCCAGCTGGAGTCCTGTGCCCCTGATATCTTAATTAGCTTTGTATTTATAAGTCCTCGTGGCATTAAGGCAGGTGAGGAGATTTTTAGATGTACATTAGTGAAGGAAATACTTATATAGTGGTAGAGCTAGAGGCATGTTTGAAGCAATAGACTGTAGATAAAAGGCATGTGGTAGATTTAACTTAAAGCATTTTACGTTCTCAGGTTGTAACTGCTGCTGGTCAGTGGCAGGCACAGCAACTACACGATCAGAGATCACACTGGCTGTGCAGATATCCCTGGAATACGTGTGTAATGCTCCCTTGTTTTCCTGTGTAGGATCACTGCCATTATCAGGGATATGTGGAGGGGACCCTGGACTCTGTGGTTGCTGTCAGCACTTGCTCGGGGCTCAGGTAGCACAGCTCATCTTTTGTGTCCCTGTTGTCACGTGAGTCTGGCAGCTCGCTGAGCCTGAAACAAAATTCTTGCTCTGTTTTTAACTACTGCTCAGCCAGCCAGGGATTCATCGACTGGGGCCAAGCTGCAATGGTGTCTGCCTTTGTGCACTCATTCTGTGGTATCTTTTATTCATGTAGTTAATAGATGTTTGAAACACCATTAAATAAGTTGCAGTTTGTTATCTGAGTACAGTAAGTCGTTCTTTTGACATAAATTTTGACTTATTTTCTAATTTAGATAGATGGGCAGTACAAAGAACTGTACATAGTGCAAAAATGGAAAGTCAAACACGAGTCTGCAAAGTTTACAAAATTGTCCCTAAAGCACGTCAAATTTGATTGGAAATTTTTTCTGCTTTGGGCTAATTTCTGTATCTTTTGGGACTTTGACTTTTTGCAGTGCCATGTCAGACACCAAAGTGGCAGTAGTAACTGAACTGAAGTATTTCTGCTTTATGCCTGTGACTTAATTTCTTGGGCATTGCAGTCTCTTACAAAAATGTTTGATTTGCTGTATTTGTGAAGGCCCTATCCAGTGAAAGGCAGCTTTCAGGCTTGAAATGAAGCGTCCTGTTTTGCAAGGACTGAGATACAGACGTGCCTGTAGTTATCAAAGAATAATTGTTCCTTTGTTTTACTGGAAATGGCTGGGTAACTATCCTCCGTGCTTAATGCAAGAATTTCTCACACTCTACTGTATTTTAGGGGTTTGGTGACAATAGGGAACATCACCTATGGAATTGAGCCCATGGATTCCTCTTCTGACTCTAAACACATTTTGTATCGATTGGATAATGTGAAGAAAGAGCCCACAGTGTGTGGAGTAACCACCCAAGACCATGAAGGGGAACATATGGAGGAAAATCACCATCCCAGTATGACTCAGCTGCTGCGAGTAAGTACTCCACTGTTTTCTCGTCAGTTCCCTCTAATGGGTTTTGTGAGTGTTCAGCTCAGAGTACAGAAGCAGCTTATCAGATTTCCTGGGGCTTAGCACATACCTAAAGGTTTCTGATTCAGAGGGCTTTCTACCCTGCTGAAGAACTCAGTTGCTTCAACAAAGCCCTTGCCATTTCCTTCTGCTTCTGCAGGCAGCAGTGAGAGTCAAGTGGCTAGTTAGATTATTCATGGGCAGAGCTTTTTGAGGTTTTTAAGGGCAGGAACACTACCCTCATTGGAGAGGCTCATTACCAAAGTATTGCATGAGAAGCCAGCAGAATATCGTGGTGTTCATTCCATTCTCCTAACCATCAGAGTAAGAGTTCAGTGTGAAGGTCCCCCTTGTCATTTAAAGACTGGCTATACAAGACTGCAGTAGAAGCAAGAATATGAAAAACATTGTGTTTCACTTCAAAGTTGTTGATATTTGCTTATTAATGTCTTTCTGTTCCTTTGTAAAAGTGTATGCTGTCTTTCCAAAGAAACCTGTGTGAAAAGTGAAAAGGTCCCTTGCTTTTGAACACAGGAAATCTTTGTGCAGCTGAATTTTCGTGTAAAAGACAGAGAAATTGTCATCGCATTGGATTACACTTCTTGGTTTTGGCTTGTTACCATCTTGGCACAGTGTGCTTTGGGTGTGTCTCAAGTTGTATCAAGTGAAATATGACAATGTCATGATTATTTTTTTTTTTTTTGTTTACACTTGAATTAATAAAATTGAAGTTGTCTAAAACTTTTTTCCACAGAGAAAGAGAGCGGTCCTACATCAAACAAGATACGTGGAGCTGTTCATAGTTGTGGATAAAGAAAAGGTAGGGATTGTGTGTTGCTTTCCCTTCCTTCTCCCCAGGAAATGGCTTGAAAAGCCCTCAGTCTTCATTACTCCCAAATGGATTGTTGAAAGACACTGACACTTTAGCCAAGACTGTGCTAGTAGACTAACTTAAACTGAATCAACATGTTCTGTGCAGTACTCTTCAGGAAAAGAGTAAACTGCCAGATATGGAGAGTTTCTATCAGCAAGGAATCTAATAATGTAAGGAAAACACGTGATGAGAGCTGCCTTTGCTGTTTTCTCTGGAATGTTGAGCTGTTGAGCAATAGCAGTGAAGATGCTGCTGTCTTGATTAGCAACTTCTTGACAGGACGTTTAGAATTAGGCAAAAATGGTTTTTGTGTTACTAGTCTTAAAATGTTTTGTTCCTTTTTCTAACTCTTTTCTTTATCTCTCTTCTTCATGACTAAGTTTCTTTGTCTTGCAGTTTGAAGATTTTGGGAAGAGTGAGACAGAAGTAAGAGAACACATGGTACAACTGGCAAACTTCCTTGACAGTGTAAGTTCAAGCTACACAGAGTGATGCTGTATGCAGCAGCCCCTCAGCTCTGTTTACTTTTGTAAACTTCCACCTTGGAGTCTGTTCTGTTACCACTTTGGTGAGAATGAAATAAAGGTTTTTATCAAGCCAGGAGCTAAACCTGTTCCCTCAACTGTGATGTTGAAGGCTGATAGAACAGAGTTGTGCCTGAGCACTGTGCTGAAGGGGTGCCAGAGGAGCAGGGGCTGCAAAGCGATGGCAGTATTGGTGCGTGCATTCCTGTGAAAGATTTTCCGCTTCTAAATCCACCTGTGGTCATCATACTTGAGAATTAATTGAAGGAACTCTTCCAACCTGTGCTATATACAGTGAGTGACAGGACAGATCGTTGCAATTACTGCAACTCTTGTGTATATGTAAAGGTTAGAAAAAAAGCATCTCTTTCAACCTGACTATTTCAGATGATGCTATTTGTCAGGATTGAGACTTCTTTTTATTTCTGTTTTAGACTTTCTTACAGTATGGCCAGTGTGGCATTTAAGCATTGATCCTTTAGCTAATGAAAATCTAAATCACAGGGAAAACTCATTCTGGTGGTTTGAATTGACTGCTAACTTTTAAAAAACAACAAACGTAAACAGAAAACATAGGTTCTTGCAATAAGCTATATAATGCCAGACCACTTGTTCTTATCTGAAGGTCTTCAGAAATATTTCTCCTTTTTTTCCTTCCCCAGATGTACATCATGTTGAACATCCGCATTGTGCTGGTCGGTCTAGAGATTTGGAAGCATGAAAACATAATTAGCACGGACGGAGGTGCTGGTGATGTGCTGGCAAATTTTGTACAGTGGCGTGAGAAGAATCTTGTTTTGCGCCGGAGACACGACAGTGCCCAGTTTGTTCTGTGAGTTGCAGTTCCTTCCCTTTGACTCTTAAGAAGTTTATTCTATTCCTGTCTGCTCAGCCACACTGTAGCATCAAGAGCAGCTGCTGTATTTTAACAGAGAATCCAGTGCAATCTGCTGCAGTTTGTACTTGCTGTAATTTGTACTTGTGAAAACATAGAATCATAGAATGGTTTGGGTTGGAAGGGACCTTAAAGCTCATCCAGTCCCAACCCCCCTGCCATCAGCAGGGACACCTTCCACTAGACCAGGTTGCTCAAAGCCTCATCTAGCCTGACCTTAAACACTTCCAGGGAGGGGGCATCCACAGCTTCCTTGGGCAACCTGTTCCAGTGTCTGTCCACCCTCACAGTGAAGAACTTCTTCCTAATAGAAAAACATTCCAAGTCAGATTAAAAATTTTTAAGACCGTTTCTGTGGTTGAATTCAGTGTCCTCTCTGACAGGTACATTGCTAAATAACAATTTTTTTTTTCTTGTCTTACAAGTACTGCAATGTTATATGTTGTATTTTATAAGGGTTCCATTCAGATAATCCTTTTGTCAGCTTGTACACTGGTTAGACTTGCAATCTAGGACTTTTTCCACTTGAAAATGAGCATAAACCTGATGCGGAGTGTTACATTTTAATGGAGAAAAAGTTGTTCCTGCAGTTGGCATCCAGAAGCTAGCTACGTGGTTTAAACTTTGCCACGTGATGTTAATCTGTCCGTCCCTATTGCCTTAAACTAGCACAGAGCTTCCTGAGCTGTCATCTCTGCCCCGCTTCCAGGACACTTGCCCCTGTGCACTTCCCGCTCCCGCAGATAGCGCAGTCCTTAGGAAGTCACTGCCCAAAGCAGAGAAAGGGCAGAGGTAGGAGCACTGCTTTGCATGGGGCAGCAGCCCAGCCTGCCCTTGTGCACAGCAGAAGCTCCCCTTCCTGCAGAAGCTGGGAGCCTCTTCTCCTCCGAGGCAGAGCAGCACCGTTCAGGGTGATGATGGTGAAATGGCTGAAAAAATACTAATTTCCAAAATTCTTTTTTTTAATGAAGTAAAATGTGGTGTGTTGTGCCGTTGCACTTAAGCTTTAAGAACTGTCTAGAAACAAAATGAGGGAGTAATGAGAAGGAAGTTGATAAGGAAAGAAGTCTATGGAGTTTGGCAGTAGTAGAAAGGCAGCTAACAGCCAGTTAAAACAAATTATTTTAAGGGTGGACCGTTTAGCTCTTTATATTTAGAGGGAAGATGTGGAAAAGGCTGACTTTCTCTGCAAATTCTTGTCTTAATTTAAAAGAATAAAAGAACCATGAACAGAAAGGTAAAGCTGAACTGGAACATTCATATCCACAGTGGTGCTCCTAGCAGTGATCCTTTGTTAGCGCCGGAAAGACCATGTTTTGTGCCCCACAAGCAGCAGTGATGCACTGAGTGGTTGTGGGGATGGGCTGTATCGTGTGTCTGCAGTCAGGATGATTGCCTTTCCTTTTTCTCCCCATGACTGTAGGAAGAAGGGGTTTGGTGGCACAGCTGGAATGGCCTATGTTGGAACAGTGTGCTCCAAGAGCCACGCAGGAGGCATTAATGTGGTGAGATATCTTTAGTGATACCGTGAATGTGATCAAGATAAGAGTTTTGCACTCCAGAAATCTTCCTGGAAGTGCAGAATCTTTAATAAAAAAACTGAAGTAGCTTAGTGGGGGCTTTTATATGGTCCCCAGCCATTTCTGGCAATTCCATATCTGGATCACAACTTTTCTGTAGTCTTCTGCATCTTCTGCTTAGCTTTCCTTCTCCTCAGTGTGCAGCACTCATGAAAAAGGGACAGGATTGCTCTGCTGACGTTTTAAGCACCCCTGCCTTAGAAGGATGTGGGAGCTGTGGGTGTTCTCCAGTCTGTCCTCTGGTATTTACTTGACCTGCACAGTCGTGAACTCCTGGAGCAGTGCCAGCTGTCTGCCCTCTCTGTGTGAAATTGCAGAGTGTTAATGAACTGAATTGCTGACCGCAGATAACTGGCCGTCCCAGCAATCTCGTTTTCTTGGACTAGTGACAGAAGTACTGGAATTGGAGTTTGCATATTTAAGGAGTTTTGGGCTGGTGTGGAGAACTCTTATTTTTGTGTTAAAGTTGCAACTGCACTGGAAAGTAGAGGTTATTAGGTAGTGTCCCAAATATGTTTATCTAAGGGCTCTTATTACTAAGCAAATGACATGCACTTGGTTGGAGAGCAGGCACAGTTGGTCTGAGAATCCTGTTAATGTAGAGACAGAATGACAGAAGCAGTGTCTTTTTGGCACATGAGTAAACACTGACTTTCTCAGTATAAGCTGTCCACTAATTTTCTTCTGTTTTGTTCTTATGCAGTTTGGAAGAATCAGCATACAGATGTTTGCATCCATTATGGCTCATGAACTGGGACATAACCTGGGGATGAACCACGATGATGAACGTGTCTGTCACTGTGGAGCAAGCAGTTGCATTATGAACTCTGGAGCATCGTAAGTAACTGACAAAAGGGAAAGCATTTTCCAAGGGTCAAAACTCCTCACCCGTGCACTTAGTTTTTACAGGTTGCTTTCACCTTCAAAGTACTCTTGCAAAGAGTCGTGTCACAGTTGCAGCTCATGGGGAAGGGGAAATGTTACCCTTGTTCTACAAACTGAGGGAAGGCTTGTGGGGTTGTCTTAGTGCAAAGATAAACTCATGTTCTCTGTTGCAGGGGATCAAGGAACTTCAGCAGCTGCAGTGCAGAAGACTTTGAGAAGCTAACCCTTAACAAAGGTGGAAGCTGCCTGCTCAACGTTCCCAGGCCCGATGAAACCTATAGTGTTCCGTACTGTGGGAACAGGCTGGTAGATGCCGGGGAGGAGTGTGACTGTGGTTCACCAAAGGTTTGTAGCTCTGTGTTTTACAAATGCTGCCAGGGTAGCCTTGTGTGCCCGTTGCTGGAGAGGGGACTGTGCGTGGTGGAGGGTGAGATTTCCTGACATTCACAGCACTTGTGTTCTCAGGAATGTGAAAGTGATCCTTGCTGCGAACCAGGGACTTGCAGACTGCGATCTGGTGCTGAATGTGCTTATGGCGACTGCTGTAAAAACTGCCAGGTAAGAGACTCAAACATATTATTTGGAAGTGTTCTTTAGTGGTTGAGAAGAGGAGAGCACTGGCCTAGCCAGTGCATCTGTGAGAGGGAATTGTCATGCACATGCACAGCACCCACTGAGGGCTTCAGATCAACACCCTTTTTGGGGGCATATCGTGCATTGAGTGCAGCGTTTGTCTCTGCTGTGAAGTTTCTATTTTCTGATGCAGTTTCTCCCTCCACTCTCTCTTCAGCTTCTTCCTGGAGGAACCGAGTGTCGGGCGAGTAACAATGAGTGTGACCTTCCAGAGTACTGCAACGGCACGTCCCAGTTCTGCCAGCCCGACTTCACCGTTCAGAACGGTCACCCGTGCCACAACGAGGAAGCCTACTGTTACAACGGCGTCTGCCAGTACTACGACGCGCAGTGTCAGGATATCTTTGGCTCAAGTAAGGAAGAAGAATACACTAAGTTTATTTAAAATATATTTACTTGTTTTCCTGTAACAAAGACCAGCTGGCTTTGGCAAAGGATTTGAAGTAGTGGTATTTATGGCTTTGCCTTCGCACATTCTTCCTTTGTTACGTTTAACGCTGTGCTGGTGATTCAAGTAGTAATTTTCTTTCACCAATCGTTCCTGTTACAATGGGCCTTCTGGGGTATAGGGCTGTAAGGAAGCCATGAAGAAATATCAAGTGGTATAATTGACTCAATATTGACTATTTTTCTCTCTTTTAAGCTTGGATCCTTGTAGTGCTGACATTTTCACCTCTTTATTGTTTTGATTGAGTTTGTAAGCTGTCTGTGCTACGTGGAACATACTAGGTGTAGCAGGATAATTGCTCTGGGTAAGGGGAGACATGATGATATGAGGTATTTCTGTCCCTGTTTAACTTGGTTCCTCTGTCTGGGGGTTGGGCTGTTGTTTGCAGAAGCCAAAGCAGCCCCCAACATTTGTTTTGCTGAAGTGAATTCCAAGGGTGACAGATTTGGCAACTGTGGTTTCCACGGCCATGACTACAAGAAATGTTCCAGCTGGTGAGTTGAACCCAGTGCATCAAGAAATTCCTACATGTATCATTGAGAATCCTCATTCGAGTGTTAGTTTGGGATGTTTTAGCAGGTGCATTGGGGAGAGACTTGTTATCCCACAATCTAACCTTATTGACATTCTGAAACCGCAGCGAGATGGCTTAGAAAAGACGTGTTATACTAATTTCTGAAGCTGTTGTTAGTGCTTAAAGACCACACGCTCATCCAATTACAAGTTTTGTTGACTTTTGTTTTAGATTGTCTGGCTTTAACTCTTGCACATAATAGTTGAAATGACTTTTGAATGTTTGGGCAATTCTTCCATAGCTGGGTGTGAAGCTTTGGGGCTTGTGCCGCAGTTCCCGTGCGTGCGGTGGTCTGTGGCCTCAGGGGATCTGTGTGTCACACATTCAGATGTGGGGCTATGGCAAGGGGAGAGTGTTCCACATCTCCCATCACTGATTGTTCTTGTCCTAAGGTGTTCATGTACAGAGAAACAAGTAGCAAATCCTCATGTTTTCTTTAATGTAAAATCCCAACAGCTTACAGAATGAAGACCTAAATCCATCCTCTTGCAGCGCTGAAATGAGGCCCAGCTCAGTTTTGTTTGGCGAGTTGCCTCAATTTTATTTTCAAGTCGTGTCTTCCAGGAGGAAGAAAAGATCATATCAAATATGTGATAGTCTTTTTCCCAGAATAAATTCAAGTGTCACTACAGTATTCATATGTTGATGTTGTAGGAATGCCATGTGTGGGAAGCTGCAATGTGAAAATGTGAAAAATATGCCTGTTTTTGGAATTAAGCCTGCTATTATCCAAACTCCCATTGGAAGAGGCACCATGTGCTGGGGTGTAGATTTCCAGCTAGGCTCTGATGTCCCAGACCCAGGAATGGTGAATGAAGGCACCAAATGTGATACTGGAAAGGTAATGAACAATTAAAAAAATTTTTTCTTAAAGTAATAATTTAGGGTTTTCACATGAATAAAAATTTCAGCTGCGTTGTTTCGTAATATTTATGGCTGTTTATTTTTTTGGTGCTTGTAGCTAATGCAAAACTGAGCGAGTCCATGGGTTCCCTGCACTGCCTGGTACTGCAGTGCATGGGCCTAAAAAACTTTAGTGAGCCTTTCATTTATAAATGAAGGAAAAGAAATGAAGAACCAGAATGTTTGCTCTGTCAATGAGCAGGAAGAGCTAGGGGCACACAAATGCCTTGAAGACAACTTCCAATTAACATCCAGCTAAACTGAAAAGCCTAGAAGCTTTACCCCAGCAAAGGAATGTGCATTCCACATATCCTTACTGTGCACAATTTAATTGCTATTCCTTTACATTCAGACTAGAGACAAAAGACTCCCAGTGACAGTTCAGACCCCATACTGAGGAGCCTTTTGTGGACCAGACACATTTCTGTAGAGTTGGGGTTTATCACGTAAGAGTATGAGACTGGCTTTGTGGTCAGGGAGCTCAGAGGGGCTGCAGAGCCGGAGGGGCCAGAAGGGGTAGGTCAGTGAAATGCCATCTCGCTCCATTTATGTGCCTCTCTCAATTCCCCCAGATCTGCAGACACTTCCAGTGTGTCAGTGCCTCTGTTCTGAACTACGACTGTGACGTGGAGAAGCAGTGTCATGGACATGGGGTAAGCAAGAGCCTCTGCTCTGACTGAGAGTCCACGAACAGTAAACCCCAAGTCTGTAAGTTTTGATACAGCTGGCAGTATTTCTACGTGAGATCTGACATCTTTGTTACTAGGTCACTAGATTTTTAGAGACAATGACCATGCAAATGTGTAAATGGTCTTTTTTTAATCAGAAGTCCCACTTTAAGCCAGGTACACTGTAATTGTGCTTAATCAGAAGTGTTTATATACTGGTCTTTTTTGCATCTAAGGAAGTCTTTTGCCCTTCTCTGTTATAAGGCTGTAACTCATGTGAAATAAAGTAATCATGATGCTAGATACAGTGATTAAAAAAATTCTGTGGAGTTCTTGAGGATGGGTTTTGCTATTAAAGAGCTGCTGTTTGGTACTGTTAATGAGAAAAGTGCCTTTAACAGCAAAAATTGGACTGAAGTTATGTCAGTTGAGGAAGTTCTAAAATAGTGGGTAGTAACTTAATTTTTCTGTTTTGTTTAACTGTAAAACTCTCTATAAAATGTCTCTGGCAAAAGAGCCTATAACAGTATTTAAAAAAAACCAAAACTTTGACAAAAGCTCTTAAGATGATATTTTTTTGCCAGGCAAGAAGAATTCCCAATTCCAGTATTACTAATGTAATTTGAAACTCTGCATCTCACAAAGGAAAAAAAAGCAAGCCATGCTCTTTAAGCTGTTGGGACAACTAATCTTTGGAAGCTCATCCTGAACAATGCTGTGCTTGCTCAGTCATGTGAAATCTTGAGACGTCTGGCCAAGAACTGTTTAGAATTGACATGGGAGTTACCGGTTAAAGTTCTCCAGGCTGAGTGATGTGGAAGGGACGGAATAGTCGGTCATGGTTACTGCCTGCTGCTTTTAAATGGATGGAAACTTGTGTTGTTAAATAGTCTTTATCTTGATGTTTGTGTTGTGTAAATACAGGTGTGCAATAACAACAGGAACTGTCACTGTGAAGCAGGCTGGGCCCCTCCATACTGCGACACTAAAGGCTACGGAGGAAGTCTGGACAGTGGCCCTCCTTACAATGGCAAGTAGTCATACGGCAACTCCAGAGCTGTGGGCCTGTCTGGTGTGCTGGGCTGAGTGCCTGATTGCTCTGCAGCAGCTAACTTCTGGTGGCTGAGGTGCTGGTGGTTGACTCTTCACCAGGTTTCATTTGCAAACAGTTCTAGTTAAGGTTTTGAGCTCAAGGTGTTACACTTCTCTCTTTCGGGATGCTGGGGAGCTGTAAAGAAACTGGGCTGGTTTAAGTGCCTTTAGGTGAATTCTGCCACCTCAGACCAAGATCCTCTTGGAATTTTCTTTTTCCAAGCTGGGAAATGAAACCCCTTCCATTCTTAGATCCAAACACCTTGAAATTTGGCTGAGGACGTGGGTTCAAATCCATGGATATGAACCTGCATCTCCATGAAGACAGGCTGCTTCAAGCAGTGGTGGCAGAGATGAGTAGCTGCCCTGTTCTGGTATCTGCAGGCAGCTGCATGTGCACCTGCAGTGCAGGCAGGACTAACGTCTGGCTGAGGTGGGCTAGGGCAATGCATGATGAAAAAAAAAAATCACTGTTTTATTAATCTTTATTATTTGAGTGCAGACAGCATGCTTCGCTTGGTAGTAAATACAAAGGTAGCCCCTGCCCCAAACAACTTACGGTATAGAAGAGAGGTACGCGATAAAGAAACGGGGCGATGCAGAGGTTTGTGACACTCTATTGTTTGCAGACTTTCGGTTCACTTTTTTTTTTGTGTGTGTGGAGAGAAAGGTGGGACGGGGAGGGGAATTTTGTGGGGTCTTTTCATATAGTTTTTCCCCCAGAAAAGGTACTAGGCCAGTGCTTGATGCGGCAGGATGATGTATCTGTGTACTTGGAAGATGGATGAATCTAGTTTTGAATGTGAAGAGTGTAAAAATGGTGCCTGGGGAGCACAATTCATGTGTGAAAGAAAACAAACTGGAAGAGGCTATGAAGCTTATTTTTCTCACTGAGCTTGAAGATGAAGGAGGAAGCCAAATCCAAGCTATAAGCTGGAAAAAACTTGTGCAATGCCTGTGTGGACTATATAAGGATGAGATTGATGTAGGCCCTTCTATGAGCTGCAAGAATGATCCTGAAGACTGTTTTTCATAAGATGTAGGTTTTAGAGGAGGCTAGACTCTATGTTGATGCAATAACAGTCTGGAGAATCACCTCAGAGCATGGACAGATGCCTCTAATCATCAGACAAAAAAGGGGAAAGGCTTTTTGGGGTTTTTTTTTTGTTGTTGTTTTTGGTTTTTTTACAGCCTGCAGTGGAGAAATTTGCTGCTTGAAAAAATGTAGAGGTTGGCAAGAGCTGGAGTTCTTTGGCTACAGCAAACAATGGTGGGAGAAGAGGAAGATTTAGGATCAGACCAAAGGGCAGAAGCTCTGTTTTCTTCTCTTTCAGTTGAGCTCCTAAGATCTTCACAGTAATCCAGTGGAAGAAAAATTAGGTATTGACCTAGTAATTCAAGATGCTGTTATAGCCCAGGGTATCATGGCACATACAGTTCTTTCATCTTTGACTGGACAATCTATATGAGAAGATAATCAGAAATAATATATTTGGGCATATATCTTGCAGTCTTACTAGATTCTTTAGGTTCTTTTTTCTATGAAAAACAGGAAATAGTTGTAGAACCAATCCTACCAAATATTCACTGCTACAATGAGTCAGGTGGTGGTAACACCATGTAATACTTCTTTTTTCTTCTCTGTGGTTTTGCCCCCATCAGACAAAGACACTTCGCTGAGAAATGGGCTGCTGGTATTTTTTTTCCTGGTCCTCCCGCTGCTCGTAGCTGCTGCTGTGGCATTTGCAAAGAGAGACAAGCTGAAGCGATGCTTTAGGAGGTTAATGTCCCGCTGCCAATCGTGAGTAGAGGCTCCTTTTTACCTTTTCCTCTGCGCTTTTGAGGGAGTCCACAGACATCTGTTTACACGAGCCACTGCCAAAGTGTGGAGACATATCCCAGTCCCGAGATGTCAGGCAAAGGCCCCTGCATCAAATGGCACATGCAGCTTGCCCTGGGCCATGACAGAAAAGATAAATTCATCTTAAAATGAGGGAACAGAGAACTTTTTTTACCGTTGTGTTTGTTGTCGCGCACTGGTGATGGGTTTTGTATTTTTGGATCTCATCTTTTGGTATAAAGTGGCAAAATGAAGCTATCATAGTCCTAAACAGAAAAAGTGATGTTTATTAGATATGTGATGTTTATTAGATATGTTTATTAGATATTCCCTGCTGATGGCAAGGGGGTTGGAACTAGATGATCTTTAAGGTCCCTTCCAATCCAAACCACTCTATGATTCTATGTGGCAAGTATTATCTTCCTGATGTTGGATATGTGCTCAGGCTGTATAAATCCATCTAGCTGGTTCGAAGTGCTTGGATTCCCAGCCTGTGTAGTCATTCTCTCAAGGTGTTACACTCACACAGTCCATGTCAATTGGATTTCAGGTCCCTTCAGCCACCACCTCCTAGGACAGAAACAGAACCAAGAGACTACCACCACAGAGGCTTTTCCCATGGCACGCCTTATGCTCCGAGAGCTGTTCCCATGGTAGGAATGATCCTCATTGCTTTATTTGTCATCTCTTGTTCTAAAGTAACATATTAAGGCAGGTTTTATAATTTTTGCCCTAATAAAATCTTCAGTTATTTTATTTTTTCATCTCTGGAAACCAGGTTTTCTCTTTGTTAAGAGGCAAAGAGAATAATTATCTCCTAAGGTGTGAGGGGGAACTCCTCAGTCTCCCACTGTTTAAGCTTTTTTACGGTCTGTGTTTGGCTTGGGAAGCAGTTTACCTGCTTTGTACTCCCTTTCCCTTACTCTGTGCAAGTTTATTAACATTCTCATCATGTTTTTGTTGTAGGATATGGAACCAAATACCTTTCCTGTTCCATCTTACCCAGTTAACCAGCATCCTCAGCAGGCTTACCACCAGTCTTACTACCCGTCTCCGCAATACCAGGCACCACAGCCACAGAAGCTGCCGATGAGGTTGGTTGAGTTACTGCAAATAACTATTGGCAGTTTCCTGGGGTGCATAGAGTGTCATTGCCTCCATCTCTGTAAGCATTAAGGTATTTCATCACGTATTATATGCAAGCAGGACTGACCTTTTATTGAGAGAAGTTTCTCCTTCATTTCACGCTGTGGAACTAAAGTGCTATTACCCACAGCATTAATTTTATGCACTGTCACGGCTACATTTTGATTAACAGATTTCAGAATGCTCTTCTGGAGCCAGATTAGCCCTGCATACAGGTGAATAAAATGCCTCTCAAAATACTCAGTTTAAAAAGAAATTACTCAAAAATCTGTCATTTTGCTGATTCATGAATGTTATTGCCAAGTACAGGATCATTTCTCATTAACTTTGAACAGAAAGTTTTCCTTTATTTTTCATTTTACTTTTAAATTGTATTTCTAAGATGTGATGCCTATGCTATAAAACATGCATATCCAGAAAGTGCAAGGTATCGAGAGGGAGTGTTTCAAAATAGCTGGTGTTGGGAAATTCATGGGGGTCTTTAAACTATTTTGGGGTTGGGGAAAAAAAAGGTGTGTTAACAAACTGAGGTTCCCTGAGGATTTCAGGCAGTGGACAGCAGAGTCTGACCATGGCGTGTTCTGAGAGCTGAGACGGCGAGGAGCAGCGTAGCGGGATGGGACAGTCCTGGCTGGGGCTGTGGTGGTAGTGCCAGAAAAGGGGGTGAGGGACGTGTGTGGGTGTAGTCACCTGGACTGACAGCAGCTTCTCTGTCCCTTTGTAGGCCGCCACCTCCGCAGCAGAAATACGCACCTCAGGGACCTCCTCCATCACAGCAAAAGTGTTTACCTCAGGGACAGTATTTTCCTTCTCGACCGGCACCTTTGCCTCCCAAATAGCTTTTGGCTTCTTTGGGGCCTTCACGTGAGCTGAGCTGTTCACTGAGACAGAGCTGAAGCTGCAGTTATCCTTCGTGCATGGAGTGGCCCGTGGCAATCCCGGAACGCCTTCCTTCTGCAGCCTGGGAGGAGGCAAATCAGATATAGGAACGAGGAATGTAAAACTTTAAACTAAATACCTCTACCAAAGCTACAGGAACTGAAAACATCTAACCCCTTCTTAGGTCTGAGTATCGTGGCTTTGTAACTGCAGCTGGGCTGAACAGCTGGAGAGGAGCAGCCTGCAGTTAAATAATCTTTAAAATACGGCACTTGGGAGTTGCTTTTGGTTTCCCCGTTTCTGCGATGAGCCCTAATAATGAAATTGTCTGATTTGTTGTCGTCTTTCTCAATGTACAGTGAGGGATTGAGGTAACCCATACTGTTTTTCCAAACAAGGAAATCTGGCCAATTAATTTAAAATTGTTTTGCATGAACTGGAAAATCTTACCATTTCCACATGAATGGCACAAGTGAAATAAGGTATCGGTGTACTTTTTCAGAGGAAGATAAATATATTGTAAACATGTTTATGCATGTATATATGTTTATTGATGTGTAATAATGCACTTAAATTCTTACTTTCATGCTGACTGACACTAAGCTGTGCTATATAAGCACTAAGTTTAATGGTTTTAAATTAGTAATGAGTTGCTAAATGAGAATCATGTACTAATTTCCACTAATACCATGAACAGGCAATGAAACTAAAGGTACGAAGAGACATGGCCGTGTTTTGGTTTTAAAAAATTTTAAAAATAGGGTTTTAATTTGGGTCTAAAGACTGAGTAACAGTCCCTGCAAGAACACTGAGAAGCAAAAAATGTCTCTGCCGAGACCACCGGAGCTTCTCTGAGCACTTTAGACAGGAACCTGTTGACTAACGCATCCTTTTCACCTAATCCTCAACCTTTTTAGTGTCAGTCAGGATGCTCACAGGCCAACTGCTGGTAGATTGGACTGTCACCCGTTCCTACACCACTGACTAAGAGTTTTTAGAACTCCTTCTGAAAAGGAGCACGTAGCATTTGCTGTGCTGGCCGAGGGGAGATCTGTTGATGGTGGTCACAAATAGAAATCTGTTGCACAAACTTCCTGAAAGTGAAATAAGTACTGAAAAGAGTGCTTGGCTTTTTCACTTTGTGCTAACCACCGAGCGCAAAATCAATCTGTAAAATCCCCCATAATATTGCCAAAAAAATATATATTTTCCTCTGTATATACATATATAAATATATATATATATAT